ACGCCTGCTTCCTTCTGACGACTCTCGGGTAGATACTGCTTTTGCAGTTGCAAAGAAGCAGGAAAACTCTGTCGAGTTCAACACGGTATCAGCTGAGGGGCATAAAAGCAGAGACATGCAGTGAGAACGCAGGGCCTGTTTTTCTGCAACAGTAAAACAGTTCTTAATGGTGAATTCACGATGTCAGAACCATCACTGTTTCCTCTTTTGAAATTCCTGTACTTCGGCCCAGTTCATGCAGTGTTCAGAAAAGCATCCGCCCAGTAAAGGTAGTCCCAAGTCGTTCTTGCAGAACCTGACCTCCAGCCAAAGGGCAGTGGTTCTCTGTGGAACAGCCCGATTGGCACTTCTTGGGGAGCTGCTGCCCTTTGCTGCTGGTGCTGGGCTCGCAGGGACGGTTTGCTTCACCAGGCTAGGTAGGATGTTCCTGTAAGCCTTGCAGCTGGCAGTGCCTTGTGGAAGATGCTCTGTAGTGATTAGAACTATGTGCTTCACCTGGCCCTCAACTGTAAAGACCTGTTCAGGTGAAAATTCTACAAACCCATAACTAATACAGCTTACGTCTAGTCTTATTCTTAGTTTTAATTAACATCAAGCATTTTAGAAGTTAATTGTATCTCTTGTTACTAAATATGAAATATTTTAAGTCTTAATACTGAAATAAATTAGTATGGTTTACTCGGAATTTTGAGTTTCAGTTTAATTTCTCTGCAGTTAAAATCCTACAGCTCATACCTTCTCTATGCTGAGTTGCTTGTCAAGAAATGTAAATATTTCCCCATTATATTGCATATAAGTTCTTGAGAATTATTTTAAGTACTTGGAAACAATGTTTTTTTTTAACTTCTGTTAACTTTGTGCCAACTGCTAGAAAAACATAAAGGCTAAACAGCTCTTTTCAAATAACAGAGGTTGCACTTTGGCACACAATTTCTTCTGTCTTTGGCTTGCTCTTTTCTTTGGCTCATAGATTTTCACTGAGGGAAGCAGCTCTCTTTTGCTGGAGAAACTAATGGGAGGCCGCTTAGTTAGCCATCACATGTTGTTGGTTTAGCACACAGGTTTGACATGGGAATCCCACTTGAAAAGCGTGGGAATTGGACAATAATTAGCATTATCCCTTAATCCTTCTGTGAAGCAAGCCTGGAAGATAGGGGACTGTCGGTTTGAAAATTATTTACTGGGGCAGTTAGCTTTGACACCAGTTTAATATAAAGGGGGATGCCTGATACTGCATTTTTAATCTTAAAAATGCTTAACCACACACTAAGATTATTTAAAGGCACAGAAGTTACTTAAGTTAAAGGAAAGTACAAAAGTGTGAATCTACAGATGTGCAAACTTTACTAAATCAAATTTCTTCATAGCAATTTTTTTCAGGGAAACATTTGAATAGAAAACAGGTCTGTCTTTTCTTAGCTGGTCATGGTAACCTGCAGGAGTTTCTCCTTAATCTTCTGAAAGAATAGTTCACTTTAAACACAGAACTTCTCACAGATTTTTCTGGACTCTTACAGGGCTTCATGTATTCTTCAAATAAAAGGTAAAATGGTTTCACAAATCACCCAATTCATCTACCAAAAACACCTTCTGGAAACCATTTTCCCTCAACTTAAAACTGAAATGCAGAATTAGCAGAATGCTACCCAGACTTTGGAATAACTTTTACCCATTATTCCAAAAATGCAAATAAAAAGTGTAACTTAAAATACATCATAATATTTTTTTACCTGAAAGTATTGTCATTTCATGTGCTTTTTCTTGCAGCACCAGCCAGCATTCGTTGCATCCATAACGATGTCGCGGTACCCGACTTCTCTGCCTATCGTCGTCAAGACGTGCTGGATCCCACCACATCTTCTCAAGGCAGCAGTGAATCTAGAAAAGGGTTTTCCTACCTGGTGACTGCAACAACATGCGTAGCAACCGCATATGCTGCTAAGAATGTTGTCACCCAGTTTATTTCCAGCCTGAGTGCTTCTGCTGATGTGCTAGCACTGTCAAAGATCGAGATCAAGTTATCTGACATTCCAGAAGGCAAGAACATGGCTTTCAAGTGGAGAGGGAAGCCCCTTTTTGTGCGTCACAGAACCCAGGCAGAGATTAATCAGGAAGCTGCAGTTGATTTGTCTGTACTGAGGGATCCGCAGCATGACTTAGACAGAGTAAAGAAACCAGAATGGGTCATACTAGTAGGTGTCTGCACTCATCTTGGTTGTGTACCCATTGCTAACTCTGGAGATTTTGGTGGTTATTACTGCCCTTGCCATGGCTCCCATTACGATGCCTCTGGCAGAATCAGGAAAGGTCCCGCTCCCCTTAACCTTGAGGTTCCGACTTACCAGTTTGTTGGTGATGATACAGTGGTTGTTGGCTGAGTAACGAGGTGCTTGCTCACTTTCATGTTCCTGTGAATGTACGCTCAAAAGGGTTATTTGAGATTCTGGAATACTGTAAAGCCAGATGATCCTGAAAACATACTAGATGTCTAGATTCTCAACTTGAAGTACGTTTGACTACTTCCCTGTGTTCAATTTTAATAAAAACTTGGAGTGAGCACTTGTTCCTGATTTCAATAACGTGTATTTATTTGTGTACTGATTTGTAGTGTGTCTAGTCAGAGAGCTACTACAGTAGCCCCAGGATGTTTATGGAGCCCTTCTGAAGGGTTTGCTGATTCAAGATAGAGACTGAACTACAAAGCCATTGTTTCCTTAATACCACATGTTTTCATTATTTGGGGTTTTTTGGTTGTTTTTTACTGCACTGTGGGAAGAAAAAAGATCTAAAAAAGATCTTGCTATGAACTTCTGTGTTTGGAGTAAGTTTCAGTAGAGAATCCTATGAGATGTAATCCTTTTCCTTCCAGTGTATTTGTTTGTTTTCAAAGGAAGTAAATGAAAAATAAACACCTACCTAGAAAGAAAACTTTTACATTGTTCAGAGACACCTTATAATTGCTTAAATGGTAGCATTGTAATTTTATGATGATGATGTGGACAAAAATAAGCATGGTGTTAGAATTAAAAATGATTTTTTTACTTGCAGATAAGGCTTGGTCTTATGCATATCTAAACATCAGATCAGGCACTTAAGACACTGGAAAATTTGTGACACTTTTCCAAAAGAAGTAAGTTGAGAAGGAAGTAAAAAGGGAAATCCAAGTTTTACAGAGGGTGAAAAATAAATCGTACGAACCACTCAGTCTGGACTAACCTCTAATGTTAGACATCGCAAAAGTTTTTGTTGCCATCAGAGATATTTTAAGACACAAGGATGTGTGTGAAAATTAGTGTTTTGTAGTGCCTATAGGCTAAGCTCAATAAGGCCAAAACTTTGAAACCTCTCTACCTTGATGCTGACTTTTGACGGCATGGAGAAGCAAATGCAGCCTCAGATAGATCTTGTAACCAGTATTGGTCCTGCCAGAACAAAGCAAAGAAAATCAAAAACCACTCCCCACCAAACTACCCTGTCTTTCCTGTTTGCTTCCCGTTCTTTGCTGCTGTTCTGTGAATGGTTCTGTCCTGCACTGCATTAATGTGCAAGTCACACAATCCAGTTGCAAACCGGAAAATCCAATCCTCAGAATTCCCTGGGTCTGGAATGTTCAACCTCCCATATACTTCATAGAAGCTGTGATGACAGCTGGGTTAAAGCTGAAGTTTTAAATAGGATTAACCAGAATATCAATGCATACAGCTCACCTGTTCTCAGACAATTCAGTGAAAAAAAGACCATAGGTGGCTACTACAGAAGTGCATTTTACACCATTTCATAAATTCCAGCTTTACACCTTACCACTGTGTCTGCAAAAGCATTCTCAAGAACTTTTCTGGTGTAATGAATCGTGCTAAACCAGTACTGAAAGAGGTGTTCCCAAACTTGTATCTAAATAATTGGTATTCATGTATGTATGTGCCTTGTATTAGAGGGTTGATCTTTCCTCAAGTTTTGTACTTCAAGAAAAGCAGCTTATTAACTCCCAAAAATAGCATTAGAGCATCTCTCATCTGCTCTCAAGTAGCTACTCTGACCTCGTTTTAAAATGTTTTTTAGCCCACAGGTTACATTATTTAGTCCTAATCTTTGTTTACATAGTCACTAAGTAACTGCAGTACTAGTAAATTTGCTCGCTGTAAAGCAAGGAATGGCCAGGGCTGTTCCTGAGATGGCAACTGAACACAGTGAAAGCTGGAGTAACATCACAGCTGGGCTTAAAAGGTCACACATAAAATTCCTTGCACAGAATAAGCTGTTACTTAAATTACATCAAACTGACTAGATCAAACCTTACCAATCTACAACTAATGCTGCACCATGAGATCGAACGCATTTGAGAACAAAGTGGCAGCTGTTACCGTAAATGTGAGATGGAAGGAATCTTTTTTCACCTGACTGGTGACATAACAGTTGAAGAAGCTGAAGTATTGATTCTTGGGCAACGATAGTGTCCATCCTCCCTTCAGTTAAAGGGTTTGTACTTTTAAAATGGGGGGAAAAAAACCAACAGGCCAAGCATGCCTTAGAAAAGAATCAGGAATTACTAGAATTTGAGAAATAAGGTAAAGAGTTAACAGCCTAGAATCATCACAACCACTCACAGTTTGGTACTGAAGTACAGACTCAAATTAAAAACCATGACATTTCATCTGAATGCATTAAACCACTTTTTTTACTGTGAAGGTTGCCAAACACTGGAATAAGTTGCCTGGAGGGGTTGTAGAGATGCATGGAGATACTCAAATGCAACTGGACAGTCCTGAGCAACCTTGCTTGAGCAAGGGGGTTGGACTAGGTCATCTCGAGAGGTCCCTTCCAACCTCAGCAACACTGCGATTTGCAAGGAATAATGTCCAATTATTGTATTGTCTTGTCTGGGACAAGAAACTCCAGAAGGCCCAAACTCCCCAAGGGGGAAGAGTGACTCAAGCAAGGGTAAACCTCCACACAGTGATGTGCTGGTTGCCAGTAATGAGCTCATCATTCATTACCTTGTGGGTTAAGATGTCCTTGGATTAAGCTCAGTACTGCCACTAATTACAGGCATTACCACCATACAAATGGGTAATGTTACCGTTCCCGTGGCTAGCGTACCCTGTGGGGCTGGAAGTACAAGTGTTCAAGTACACAGAAAAATACCGCTATTATTTTACAAAATTCTGAAGATTCATTGTATTCCTAAGAAGCAGTTGCTTACTAGGTGCGCGTATTTCCACTTTGACTCCCCCCACTTCAGTCGTGGCCTTACCAGGGCTCTGTTCCTAACATCAGATCCTTTTCACTTGAACTGTTTGCCAGTAAAAACAAAACACAAACTCAGAGACTTCACAAAGCTAACAGGTCACCTTTCCCCTTCCAAAAACGTATGAAGCCCCACTTCTCTCTTCAGCTGCTGGTAATTTGACAGGGTGGCAGGAGCTAAAGGGAAGGACAAGTTTGATGCTGGTACAGGATCACCGGGTTGATCAGTGTTGGGGCCTGACGTTTTTCAGCAGCGAAGCTGTAAAGCACAAGCCTATGCCGGAGAGAGGGGCTGCCTTTCATCTGCATGCCTCTTAGATACGAAGCAGCAGCCACGTATCTGTTTCTTCTCAGCTAGCTACTTTTTCTCCTTTAGAACAAAACAGTCTTTATGAAGTTCTGAACGGAGTTCATGTTTATTTAATAAAAAAGCTCTTCAGATAAGGGGAATAAAGATACTAAAATCAAAACTTAATTTTTAATTTTTGACATTTCAAAAGCTTTATCTTTCCTTTTCTGTATCTTTAGAAGAGGGGCAATATTTTTAATGGTTACTGCTGTCAAAGGAATAATTAGTGCAGAGACTCTAAATGAAAATTCAGAATATTAAGTAATTTTCACAGCTAATGACATGTGGGTTTTTAAACCTTCTGGTTTGTCAGGTCCACTCTTCAGAACTGAAGACAGTTTCCTATACAGCCTCTGTACAGTCATTAACGTATGTTCTTGCAAACCAGACGAGGCAGCATTCTCAAAGGCCACGTTGTGCAGCAGCATAGTTATCAAGCATGCTCTTGCCACTGATCACCAACAAAATCTACGTGAAGAAGAAACTCTACGAAAAGGGTTCCTAAGCAGTTCAGGTGTATCTGAGGAACACAGTAGCCAGTTCCCCAGTTAAAGCAGTGCTCTGCACCCAAGCGACACATTTTTCCTCAGCAGAAGTGGCAAGTGACAGGACAATAACGACCCCTCTCCAACCTTGAAAAAGGAAAAAGTAATTTATAGATGGAATGAGAGAGGTTAAAGCTACTGAAGGCTGAGTGTCCTCCATGGATAAGATTTTCTCAGCTACCTACAGATGATGCTTATTTTACATGTTTATTGCTTTTATCCTCCACAGAGCTGGTAGCACTATTCATTATTCAAATGATTCAGTTTCTAAGACATTTTTTGGTTATTTATAGTGTTGGGAAGCTCTGGCTGTGATCAGTATTAACTGTGCCAGATTTCCTGCTTTCAAGTAATTTCTTTTCCTTATGTCTCGGTAATAGTTTTGAAGAGATGGCTAAATGAAAAATACCTTTCATGTTAATAATACAGGTGATCCTGTCTCTGAAGGACTTTAGCACTTCATGCCCATTAAAGTCTTGCAATTTTGCTGACCAGTGTATCTTTTGTGATCACCGTGAAATTTCAAATTTTCTCTCATCATAACCTTTTAAGAATATGCTGTTTACACAGGCTCAGATCAAAGGTATCCATTAATCTGGGGGCCTGCTTTGATACACCTAGAATCTGGTGGTGTTCAGGTGGTTCCCCAGGCTATAGCACCTCATATTCAGAATTGAGTTTCCACTGATTCTGCTGCCTATTAAATTACTTGACAGTCCTGCAAACCATGATCTTAAGGTTGAGAGAAGCCCTGTGGAGAAGGACTTGGGGGTACCAGTGGATGAAAAGCTGGACATGAGCTGACAATGTACACTCACAGCCCAGAAGGCCAACTGCAGCCTGGGCTACATCAAAGGAAGCGTGGCCAGCAGGTCGAGGGAGGTGATTCTGCCCCTCAACTCTGCTCTGGTGAGACCCCACCTGGAGTACTGCGTCCAGCTCTGGGGTCCTCAGCGCAGGAAAGACATGGAGCTGTTGGAGTAGGTCCAGAGGAGCACTACAAAAATGATACGAGGGCTGGAACACCTCTCCTATGAAGAAAGGCTGAGAGAGCTGGGGTTGTTCAGCCTGGAGAAGAGAAGGCTCCGGGGAGACCTGATTGCAGCCTTTCAGTAGTTAAAGAGGACTTATGAGAAAGATGGGGACAGGCTTTTTAGCAGGGCCTGTTGTGATAGGACAAGGGGTAATGTTTTTAAACTAAAAGAGGGTGTATTTAGACTAGATATAAGGAAGAAATTTTTTACAAGAGTGGTGAAACACTGAAACGGGTTGCCCAGAGAGGTGGTAGATGCCCATCCCTGGAAACATTCAAGCTCAGGTTGGACAAGGCTCTGAGCAGCCTGACTGAGTGGAAGATGTCCCTGCTCATTGCATTGGGGCTGGACTAGATGGCCTTAAAGGTCCCTTCCAACCCAAACTATTCTATGATTCTGTGAAAATTACAGAAATTTCAGCATTCCCATACTACTCCTGGGAATGAGAGGCAAAACACAACAGTGTAGAGTGCTCCAGTGGGTAATAGTGTACGTGCTCCCTGGACACATACAACTGGAGCCAGACAAGCTCACCCTTACAGCCTGCTGGATTTGTTTTGCATTTCTGCCTGTAAGGTGAGTTATGCCAGGATACAAACAAGCTGAGCCAGAGCCACAGGGGCATGGGGCACATCCTAAATCTGGTATTTCTAAAATCTTTAAGTTGCAGAACACCTTGTCATTCAGTTATCCCAATGCAAGCTGCCATCAAACCCCATGATCTTCAGTGTTAAACTAGAGCCTACAAACCTTCCCAGCTTTGATTCCTGTAGCTAGAGAAAAGTCTAACAGAAAGTTTTCAAGATGCAAGTAGTATAAGCTTATTCACTAATAAAACAGTAAAATAAAGAACTCAAACGTTTCTAGAATTAAGCAGTATTAACCAAAGACTACAATGTGGTCTGACAAAATGTTGATATCTGGATATATTGAGCCAGAACTCTGTCTGACACCAGCTTTACAATAAAAGTGTCATTCATTTCAAGGATTCCGTCTCAATTTATGCAAGTAGCAGTCAGTGACAGTTTAAAACCATTGTGTCCAGCCTATTTTATGAACAACCCACATCCTATGTGCATGCAAATATTAATTCTAATGTATAATTTTCTTTGTGCCTCATGAAAGAAGAAAACTATTAGATTGCCTTCT